GCGGTGCTAAAGGGGCGATACCAGTTCGGCTTCTCCGTGCCCTCCGCAGCCAGGAGAAGGGATAATCTCCCAGCCCCAAAACCCAGCCCAAAACAGCCACGAGTTACCGGGGCCCCACCCGCAACCGAGGAGGGGAAAGAAGCAGAGAAGTTCCTCGGCAGAGGAGATGTCACGCCCTCCAAGGGGTGCTGAGACCTGAAAACTCATTGCAGTAAAGAGAAGTCCCGCAGCGGATCCCCGGGAGAGGACAGAGGGGATAAGCACGGGGTGCACCTGCACAGGGCCAGTTCATGTGGGCAACGGGACCAACAGGAGCCCTTTTTGGGGGGACAGGACCCCTGTTAGTGCCACCCGAGACCTGGCTCAGAGCTGGGGTTTAACCCTAGGACTGTTAGGAGGGGCACGGCGGGGTCCCTTCATCCTGCCTAATTAGCTAATTAGTGGCTGGGTGCTCCCCAGGCTGGTCAGGCAGCCTAATTACAGGAGCCGGGAGCAGCTTCTCCTCCCGTCCCCAGCGCTCCCACAGCGGGAGCGGCCGCGGGGCTTTTTATAAACTCCGCGGGATCCAGCCAAGATTCCTGGGTTTGTTCGGCGTGGGCAGGGAACGCCTCGGCCCCCCCCACCCCGCCTTGACCCCCTCCTGCTCCAGCTCCAGCGCAGGGTGGGAAACGAGGCACCAGCCCCTTCCTCCCAGGGAGGGGGACGCTCCGGGGGGCAGAGCTGGGAGCTGGGGGGCCGTTGTGAAGGCTGCCCCCCCTTTCACACACTTACACGGGCAGCCCTTCCCCTTCTCTCCCTCTGGGTTTTCTAGGGCACCAAACACGCAGCCCCAGCTCGGTTTGCCCCTCGGAGGGAGGAGGGCTCTGCCTAGACCCTTGGAAATGCTGCACTTGACTCAACATCACCAATAAGCCAGGTCGGGCTCCCTGCAGCCCTTCAGCTGCCAAGTCAGCAGGGCTTTAACTCCAAAACTGCTTGAAAAGAGAGATTATAATGTCAATAAGGGGTTAAAAACATGGCAGTGATGTCATACACTGAGTAACGCAGCCCTTGGAGTTCCCAAAGTCCTTGGTGCCCCAGAAGGGACAGGGATGGCCAGGAGAAGAGAAGGACCAAGGCAGACAAGGACCAAGGAGTGGGAGGTGCTGGTGGATCTGGGAGGCAGTGCTGGCAGGGGCTGGTCTGAGCACAGCTGGATCAGCCAGGGCAGCCTCATGGATGCAGCTGGGAAGGCAGGAACGAGCTCCAGGGGTCACAGAACTGGGTTAAAACAGACAGGTTCAGGCTTGATTTTGTCCCCTCTGCCAAGTGAGGGACACTGAGGGCAGGTGAAGGGGGGCTGGGGGCTCTGTGCCCCAGGCACAGACAAGGATGCTCAGTGTCACTTGGGGAGCTGCTGCCACCCCAGCCACAGTGACAGTCCCCCGTCCTCCACCTCTCCCCAGGGCCACAAAGAGAGACAACATGCACAGTCCCATGGGGACAAGGGATTTATGGCCAGCCTGGGACCCCCACCCTCCTCCCCACCTTCACCTTCCCCCCCCACCAACCTCACCCTTCAGCTCCTTCCTGCTGCTGTGGCAG